ACCTAAGGACCCCCTTCCCCTGGCCAACAATTCTTTAAAAATGCAGTTTTCACCATTCACATACACGTATTGACATGTAAGAGCAATGTAATTAGTAAAACTTTAATCCCTAAGTATTCAATTTCTATGAATTGAGTTTTGTTAACCTTGATAAATAATCTGTTTGTTAGAGTTGATGGATTAATTTCTACAGCCTATGGATCTAATTTCCACAATAAGCCATATTAAAACAAAGTTAAAACTTGTATTCTTTCACATTTCACAATTCATGCGTTTTCTGTTATCCATATGATATCTGAGATAAACACCCGTGATAAACAACAGAGATTAGCGCGTGCAATACAATTGTTCCTATTAGAATTGGACCATGTCTGTTTATAACAGCTGGCTTTATTAATCATTCTTTGTTTTCGGTTTAAATATATACATATACAAAAGGTGCAAGATTCGGTATGTTTAGATGATAATGTAATAATGCAAATAAAGAAACAGGGCGCATTTTGCATTTATTGCAAATGTTTCATTGGTGCATGGAAGAACAAACTGATGCAAATAACATACAGTGACATACAGCTATGTCAGAGCAATATGATAAGTAAGACTTTAATCCCTAATTATTCAATTTCTATAAAATAAGTTTCGTTATCACTGATAACTAGTCTGTTTGTTAGAGTCCATGGATTAATTTCCTACAGCCAACGATTCTAAGTTCCACAAAAAATAATTTGCAAATTAAGTTTTTTATATTTATCTGATTGTATATTATCCCCCATGTTATGATTAACATTGTGTTAAATTTGGATTCAATCGATCAATTCATTGGAAAAATATTTTTTTAATTCTTAATTAATAAGTTTTCCTCACATGTTTACTCTTGTTTACTATTGTTTCTCACATCTCACATCAAGGTTACAATAAACGACATTTAAATCTCCCTCTTATATTACACAGGCACAACCACCTGTATTCACTTTGTCAGCCACAAAAACAATCTTGACACAGAAATGCTCAATATTCAGCTAAATATATTACGCATTTTATACAGGCCCGTACCTAGCGACCCCCTCCCCTTGACCAACAATTCTTTCAAGATCATGCAATTTTTCACCATCTCGTACATGTATTGACATGTCAGAGCAATATAAAAAACTTTAATCCCCAAGTATTTAATTTCCAGGAGATGAGTTTTGTTCACTGATAACTAATCCGTTTGTTATGAGTTAAAGGATTAATATCTACAGCCGATGGTTCTGATTTCCACAGAAAAATTATTTGCAAATTAAGTTTTTCTAATTTATTTGAATCTTTAGTGTCCCTCTTGCTATGATTAATATTGTGTTAAAATTTGGAATTAATCAATTAACTCATTGAAAAGTTAATTTCTTGATTTTTAATGAATGACTTTTCTTCACCTTTAATCCACAGTTATTACCCAAATGTTGAAAGAAACAGTGAAAGGTTAAACTAGGCTCATGAGTATGTTTCAATTTGAGACATAGTATGTGATGTGCTCCAGGTACATCAGTATATTGAAAAGTTCAATTTAGCGCATTAGTATACATGTAGTTCAATTTGGCGCATTATTTATGATGTTCAAAGTACATCCTTACAGTGAAAGATTAAACTTGGCTCATGAGTGTGTTTCAATTTGGGGCATAGTATATCATGTGCTCCAAGTACATCAGTATTTTAAAAAGTTCAATTTGGCACGTTAGTATAGATCAATTTGGCGCGCAATTTATTATGTTCACAGTTCATCCTTGTATTGAAAGGTTAAACTTGGCTTATGAGTATGTTTCAATTTGGGAATAGTCTGTGACATGCTCTAAGTTCATCAGTATATTAAAAAGTTCAATTTGGCGCATTGGTATAGTTCAATTTGGCGCGCTATTTATGATGTTCAAAATACATCATTATATTGAAAGGTTAAACTTGGCTCATGAGTATGTTTCAATTTGGGACAAAGTATGCTCTAAGTTCTTCAGTAAGTTCAATTTGGCGCATTATCATAGTTCAATTTGACGTGTTATTCATGATGTTTAAAGTACATTCTTACATTGGAAGGTTAAACTTGGCTCATGAGTATGTTTCAATGGGATATAGATGTGATGTGCTCCAAGTTCATCAGTATATTAAAAAGTTCAATTTGGCGCATTATCATAGTTCAATTTGGCGCGTTATTTATGATGTTCAAAGTACATCCTTACATTGAAAGGTTAAACTTGGCTCATGAGTATGTTTCAATGGGACATTGTATCTGATGTGCTCCAAGTTCATCAGTATATTAAAAAGTTCAATTTGGCGCATCATCATAGTTCAATTTGGCGCAATATTAATGATGTTCAAAGTACATCCTTACATTGAAAGGTTAAACTCGGCTCATGAGTATGTTCCAATTTGAGACATAGTATGTGATGTGCTCCAAGTTCATCAGTATATTAAAAAGTTCAATTTGGCGCATTATCATAGTTCAATTTGGCGCATTATTTATGATGTTCAAAGTACATCCTTACATTGAAAGGTTAAACTTGGCTCATGAGTATGTTTCAATGGGACATAGTATGTGATGTGCTCAAACTTCTTCAATATATTAAAGAGATCAATTTGATGCATAAGTGTAGTTCAATTTGGCGCATTATTTATGATGTTCAAAGTACATCATTACATTGAAAGGTTAAACTTGGGTCATGAGTATGTTTCAATTTGGGACATAGTATGTGATGTGCTGTAAGTTCATCAATATATTAAAAAGTTCAATTTGGCGCATTAGTATAGTTCAATTTGGGGCATTATTTATGATGTTCAAAGTACATCCTTACATTGAAAGGTTAAACTTGGCTCATGAGTATGTTTCAATTTGGGACATAGTATGTGATGTGCTCTAAGTACATCAGTATATTAAAAAGTTCAATTTGGCGCATTAGTATAGTTCAATTTTGCGCATTATTTATGATGTTTAAAGTACATCCTTACAATGAAAGGTTAACCTTGGCTCATGAGTATGTTTCAATTTGGGATAAAGTATGTGATGTGCTTCAAGTACATCAGTATATTAAAACGTTCAATTTGGCGCATAAGTATCATTCAATTTGGTGCATTATTTATGATGTTCAAAGTACATCCATACATTGAAAGGTTAAACTTGGCTCATGAGTATGTTTCAATTTGGGAAATAGTATGTGATGTGCTCAAACTTCATCAATATATTAAAAAGCTCAATTTTGCGCATTAGTGTAGTTCGATTTTGCGCATTATTTATGATGATCAAGGTAAATCCTTACATTGAAAGGTTGAACTTGGCTCATGAGAGTATGTTTCAATTTTGGACATAGTATGTGATGTACTCAAACTTCATCAACATATTAAAAAGCTCAATTTGGCAGTTTAGTGTTGTTCAATTTGGCGCATTGTTAATGATGTTCAAAGTACATCCTTACATTGAAAGGTTAAACTTGGCTCATGAGTATGTTTCAATTTGGGACATAGTATGTGATGTGCTCAAATTTCATCAATATATTAAAAAGCTCAATTTGGCGCATTAGTGTAGTTCAATTTGGCGCATTATTTATGATGTTCAAAGTAAATCCTTATTTTGAAAGGTTGAACTTGGCTCAAGAGAGTATGTTTCAATTTTGGACATAGTATGTGATGTGCTCCAAGTACATCAGTATTTTAAAAAGTTCAATTTGGCGCGTTAGTATTTATCAATTTGGCGCGTATGTAATTGACAAATATATTGAAATATATGCATATTTTATACTTAAACTTTGTGTTTTGTTCTGTATCGTTTTGTTTCACTTGTTGATAAGGTTGATCTGTACTATTATACATGTTATAAATTGTACATGTAACCATATGATTTGCATACAAAAATAAGTTTTCGTTTAGTGCAATCCCTCATCCTTCATAATATTTAATCCCGGGGATTTTATACCGATTCCTTATTGTATTTCATACATTTGAATATTGTTTTATTTTTAAAATTTAAAAATGCATCATCATCATCAACTTCTGCCACATAATTATACAACTATTAATTTTCCTCCAGATGGCTTCACTCTAAACCTCCGAACCCCCTCCCTTACTAGGATACGCTTTACCTCATTTTAATTTTAACTACACCGAAATTGCTGCTGATTTTTGGTAAGACTAAAAACAAACTTCGAATTAATACGCGCTTATTTTACTCAAAACGGAGAATGAATAATTTATAATTGAAATATACCCAAATTTTTCATTCCACTTTTTGTATTGACTTACATTTTTAAAATATATTTAAAGTTCATTTAAAATCATATACTTCAACATCATAAAAATTTAAATGAGATCTCAGACATTAAGTTTGATTAAGCTTTCTTAAGTGAATTGCATGGTTTTATTTGTTTACATTAGCGCTTATTGAAAAATAAAATAGGATTAACTCCAAGCAAATTAAGGCACATCAAAGAATATATAGCCTCGCATATAAGAGGCGTATAGTTTGTTTTTGGATTACGTAATACATACTATACTCATCTTTTCTATTTACTTATATCCTACTATTCCTGGCTCTTAAGAATAATCGGAGAATAGTTCAAACGATATTTAGTATCGTAGAGTATATACCACCAATACTAAATGTTCCGCTTCTGAGGCAAGAATAGTTTGTTTCCCATACCGAATACAATATAGTGAGGACATACTGAACTATATTCACAAATAGTTTGCCACTTATACGCTACTATATTCGGCTTTTTGCACAGTGTGTCTTTATTTCTAGTACATCACATTACCGTTGGTTTTGTCTGTGTTTTCCAGGGCATACATTAACATTGTTGTCATTAGTTGCATTTATATTTCCAGTGCATAAACTTACATTGGTGGTTGTATTTATATTTCTAGTGCATAATATAATTAACATTGGTGATTGTGTCTATATTTCCAGTGTATCATTTCCATTGGTGGTTGTGTTTATATTTAAATTGCATAATTAACATTAGTTGTTGTACTTATATTTCCAGTGCATATATTACCTGTACAGAGTCTGGTCTGATTAAAGTGTGGAAAGACAATGAAGAGTGCCAGGTATGTTTCAATTTACCATTTAGGTCTAAACCTCGTATTATTAACTAGATTCTGATTGGTCAAAAAGAGGTAAGCAATTTGTTTAGTAAGTGTAAAGAATAATTTTGATGCTTTTTTTAGCTCACATGGTGAGCTTTTGCAATCACTCACTTGTCCGTCTTTCTATCTGTCCATCCATCCTTCCTTCCTTCCGTCCGTCCGTCTGTCCATCAACAATAGTGACACATTTTAAAACCTCAGTCGATAGGATTATTTTTGTTCAATATCGATAGAGAAAACCCCCTCTATGACTCCTGGTTCAAAAGCACACCTATTTTCAAAATGGCCTCCATTTTTGTCCCTTTAAATCCACTTTTGGACCATTTGTTTTCAAATCTCTGTCGATAGAAATTCCATGTTGAGTTATTTTTGTTCATCATCAATACAGAACAACCCCCCCCCCCCCCCTATAACTTCTGGCTTTTTGCTTTTTGCAATCACTCACATGTTCCTCTGTCCGTCCAGAATTTAGATATCAGTCTCTGAAATGAGGGTAAACTGTAGAAGAAAAATGGCAACAAAAACAAACATCGATAAAGACAAAAGGGAAGGGGAGTGTTACCGGTAGAAAAGGCTTTAACACACCGATGTGTAGTTTGCAGACCTGACACCAAACAAGACCAAAGAGAAAAAGTATAGTGAAAAAGAAGACCAAGAAAGAAGAAACTAAAGAGTGCGAGGAAATAACAACAGGAACAAAAAAGAGACAAAGAGTGAAAGAAAAAGACCAATAAAATCAGAAGAAATAAGAAGAAACCGACAGCAACTACAAATAGATTTTCAAGCTGGACTTAATGAAGATGACATGAACAGCATATAAATAAGACATCCGTCTGAAAATTGGCCAAACAAGGGACACAGTGGTTAGATATGGCACATTGGTGAGGTATACCACATGGCTAAGAATAAAATAATAAATACCAAATAATAGAAGAACAAAGAGTAAAAAGAATAAAGATGTTCTCAAGTTAACAATACAAGCAACAACCTAAAAATGTCAACAGTAGTGACACATTTTAAAACCTCAGTCAATAGGATTCCTGTTTTAAATTGTTTTTGTTCAACATTGATACAGAAAACCCCCCTATAGTCCAAGCTCTTCATTATTTTTTGTTTGAATCTCTGCAGAAATTAACCCATTGTGATTTTATGAATATATTGCTTGTTCCAAATGAAAAAAAATCCACCCGGGCAAGTTCACGCGTGACTTCTCATCCCATAGAATTATGTTGTACCCCCACCCCCTATAGGGGGCAAAGCAAAAAAATATTTTGAGGACAGTTCTTCAAATGCCATCATTAAATAAGTTCATACAATCAGCAGATATAACAAAAAAATTGTTTTCAATGTTTTTTTGATATTTCCTTGCAAAATCAATATTTCTTAATGCCAAGTAATGCTCAATGTTGGTAACATGGATTTTGAAGATGTTTTGTCATAATTCTAAATGCTGACAGTGTTTCTTTCTTAACCTTTAGCGTGCTGCGGGCGGACTCGTCCGCCGAGACTAAAATGTCTCTCACAACTGCCGGCGGACCCGTACGCCCGATTTCAAACTTTTAAAAACTTTACTTTTTCGCGCCATTCGTATTGTCCAATTAGATTGCCCGATTTATTCAGTGCCTAACATGACTTCCTGTTGACCTAGAAATGCGATATTTCGAAAAATAATTCTCAATTCAACAATTTAAACAGTGTTTTAGTCGTTTTTAGTGAACGAATCGTACAAAATGGTGGACAAATACGATCACAACGAAAATGTGGAGGAAATGGATTACGATTTCGAGCTCTTTAGGCTCTTGGAAGCCGATAACGGTCATCGAAAATAGAAACTAGAATATTTTCTGAATTGAAAAATTGAACATTCGATCGCTGCAAATTCAGATTTGGATTCTGACCAGACGAAGAGGCGGAGCGGCGGAGCGGCGGATTCCGGAGGAGTATTCATGGTATATTTATGCCCAGTCGTGTTAATGTACGAAAAAATTCATGAGAACATTTATTTTTCATGAGCCAGGCCACTGTATCTTCCCTTTGTGAAAATTTTATCCAGATTCATTCAGTAGTTATTGAGATATTAATTATTTAGTCCAGGCATATCATTTTTTGCACTCTTTGAAAAATAAGCCAGTTGCGTGGGATATATTTGCTGAAATAAGGCAGCATGGTAAAGGTTAATATCCTTGAGATATCAATTTTTCCCCAAAGACTTCTTTTGGAAGCAATTTTTTCATCACACATTCATCGTCCTGATTTAAGAACTGACAAAGACAGGGATGAAGAACTTGCCAATGAAATGCTCTTAATGAAAGATAAGGAAAACCCTTTGATTGAATGTGTCGCTTCTTGAGCTTTGAGTAGTCCTTCAAGAAATGGGATATTAAGTCAGCTAGGTGTACCAATTGATACACCAAACACAATACCAGATTTTTCCAAAAATGAAGGGAGTTTTCCAAATAAAATCTGGAAAGCAGTAGTATGTCAATGAGCACATGACTGAAGGCAGGTTTGATGTCCTGGTGAAGAATATAGCTCCTGATCTAGTAAGGGCACTTCTAAGGTCTAGACATAAAAATGGCACAACATATAACGTATGGATTGAATACAGCAATTGTCATATAACTGGTCATTATTGCACATGCCATCTGGTGCCAAAACAATGGGTGTGGGATGCTGCTCTCATGTATCTGGGGTAATCTGGTACCTTGGGGTTGGGAGACATAACAATTTTGCCCCAAATGTTAAGTCCCTGGGACAGAAGAACATCATTGATGCTAAAAATGTTTCACAAGATGATACGACTGATGTTGGTATGGATGATGACACTGATGACAATGATGATGACAATGATAGTGTGGATAGTAGCACTGATGATATGGATGATAGTGATGACATTGATAGCAGCAATGACATTAATAGCAGTGATGACAGCGACTGAAGGGTCACTTAAAAATAATAAATTTTCTACTTTCTTCCTGCAATTTTCTACAATGTTACTGCAAGTTGTACTATGTTAGTGGAATTTTATTTTACACTTGTTGATGGATAAGTATTTTTTATGAATAATGTAAAATGCTACATTATTAGAAAAAACTGTGGATAACATTTATTTTAACACTTTTGATTGAAATAACTTACACTATATGCCATTTACTGGTACATTTATTTGTAATATATGTTATTGCATACAGCTAAGTCTGCCATTATATTTTTGTTTTACATTGCTCATTGTTATATCATGTATTTTTATAGGTATATCAGTTCTGCAATTTTCATTTCATTTTTTATTTACTTTTTACAAGTTGGATAGGAGATATAACACTGTTATACTACAGTATATAGAGTTTGATTTTACATGAATGTCATTGAAAAATATGAATTAAATATATCTTAAATAGACTAGAAATAAAACTAGACTTTGGAAATTGAACGAAGTTCAATTTCAGACTCCAGATCTAGACTTTTTTAAGCCCAGTCATCTAAAATAAGCCGAGTCATCCGGAATAAGCTGAGTCATCCAGAATAAGATGGATGGATAAAATAGGAAGGTAGGATAGGATAGAATGGGAAGGAACGATAGGATAGAATAAGAAAGAAGGATAGGATAGAACCACTGTGCAAAAAGCCAAATATAGTAGCGTATAAGTGGCAAACTATTTGTGAATATAGTTCAGTATGTCCTCACTATATTGTATTCAGTATGGGAAACAAACTATTCTTGCCTCAGAAGCGGAACATTTAGTATTGGTGGTATATACTCTACGATACTAAATATCGTTTGAACTATTCTCCGATTATTCTTAAGAGCCAGGAATAGTAGGATATAAGTACATAGAAAAGATGAGTATAGTATGTATTACGTAATCCAAAAACAAACTATACGCCTCTTATATGCGAGGCTATATATTCTTTGATGTGCCTTAATTTGCTTGGAGTTAATCCTATTTTATTTTTCAATTAAGCGCTAATGTAAACAAATAAAATCATGCATTTCACTTAGGAAAGTTTAATCAAACTTAATGTCTGAGATGTCATTAAAAATTTTATGATGTTGAAGTATATGATTTTAAATGAACTTTAAATATATTTTAAAAATGTAAGTCAATACAAAAAGTGGAATGAAAAATTTGGGTATATTTCAAATATAAATCAGTAAATTATTTATTCTCCGTTTTGAGTAAAATAAGTGCGTATTAATTTGAAGTTTGTTTTTAGCAGCAATTTCGGTGTAGTTAAAATTAAAATGAGGTAAAGCGTATCGTGATATCTTTGTTCTTTGTCAGTTTTAAATTGAGACAATCCTGAAATTCCTATGACAAATTAGACCCCTAGTCAGGGAGGGGGTTCGGAGGTTTAGAGTGAAGCCATCTAGAGGAAAATTAATTGTTGTATAATTATGTGGTAGAAGTTGATGATGATGACGCATTTTTGAATTTTAAAAAGAAAGAAGGAATCAGTATAAAATCCCCATGATTAAATATTATGAAGGATGAGGGATTGCCCTGAACGAAAACTTATTTTTGTATGCAAATCATTAGGTTACATGTACAATTTATAACATATATAATAGTACGGATCAACCTTATCAACAAGTGTCACAAAACAATACAGAACAAAACACAAAGTTTAAGTATAAAATATGCATATATTGCAATACTTTTGTCAATTACATAGCATACAGTAATTACAGAGTACATTATGTTTTACAATTTTATGAATAAAATGGTTAAAAAGGTTAAACTTGGCTCATGAGTATGTTTCAATTACTATGTGACATACTATGTCGCAAATTGAAACATACTCATGAGCCAAGTTTAACCTTTCAATGTAAGGATTTACTTTGAACATCATAAATAATGCGCCAAATTGAACGATACAAATGCGCCAAATTGAACTTTTTAAAATACTGATGTACTTGGAGCACATCACATACTATGTCCAAAATTGAAACATACTCATGA